AAATAAATACTCATTTTCACTAGCTAAACTACAATATCAGACCAAATCACTGAGGTTAAAATTTGTGCTCAAGTGCCACTGAGTAAATGTCTGCCCCTTTATCAGGTTAACTCACTGCTTTTGTCTGCTATAATTCTAAAATCAGACTTCCTCAGTGTGCATGAGAAGCATGTTGCAACAGAAATAGGTAACAGACCACATAACATAGATCATTCAAATCCACTGATTTCAAAGGTTGTCTTAGGTCACCAATAAAGATTAAAAGGAGGCATTTCATAGTCTTTTCTGTTGATATTCATGCACATTTCAAAATTTACTGTCTCTGTTTAAGAAAGAATCAGAACGAAAACAGCCAAAAGATGTTGCAAGCCAAGATTCAGATTTCACCTTCTGAGCTAGATGAAATGTTCCTACTGTCTTCTTGTGCTATGCTTGGATCACTTCACTGCCAATCAATCTTTCACTTGGAAAATCCTAAATAAATCTTTCAAGAAAAGAAAAACAGAAATGCAGATCAAAAAGATTTAATAAAGAGTGTACGGAGAGAAACTATGGAAAAAAGTGAGAAGAAACTTGCAAGAAGAAAGGAGAAACTGCACAGAGAAGAAGTAACAGACACTGACTCATTAAAATCAGCAGGATGACTTATGTCACTATAATTAAGCATGTGTGTAAGTGCTTTACACAATCATAGCATTACAAAACATAACAAAGCTTATGCAGCTATCCCCCTTCAGGACAAATTTTTGAAGTCAAAATAGGGTCACGATGTAACATTGCTCAGATACTGGGCCTCCAGGCAAATGTTACTGATCCCTAGGCTGCATTACATCCTTACTTAGGAAAAAAAGGGGGCACTATTTTAGTAAAAGTGTCATATTTTAGATCAGATGCAAAGCCAGGAAACTGACAATTTTACTGAATACTTCCCACACTGTCCAATGTCACTTAAGGCATAAACAAAGATTCTGCCATCCCCACCACTACACTGGGTTATGCTTTGTAGCTCTATACACACCTCCTGTGTCATTAGGGCCTACACCTTTGCTCTCTCTAAATCAGTGCTTCTCAACCAGGGTGTTGGGGTAAGATCCCCTGAAGAGATCCCCTGAAGGGTGCTGGAGGACATGTAAGGAGATAAACAAGGGGTGAGGAGATAAGCCACAAAGGCAGGCTCAGGCTTCAGGTTTGAGGAGATAAGCAGATAAGGGCAAGCTCAGGCTTTACCTGCCTCCCTGCCACCACTGCCTGCCTCACCCCCCCGCCTACCCCATGCAAGGAGGTAAGCACTGTAATAAATACATTAGTTTTTTAAATGAGGTGCCACTCAGTTCAGAAAGTTATGACTGGGTGCATCGAGTCCAACAAGGGGTGCCTTGAGTCTAAAAAGGCTGACAACCACTGCTCTCAATACTGTTTCATAAAGGGAGCCTTTCTGATGGTCCCTAGTAATGAAATATCTACGGTTGTAATTTACAAGATTACAGCCATTCAGGTTGCTCCCCTTATATCCCAATTTGGAAAATGATGTTCCACCTACCTAAGATTCATTCTAATTTCAGCTTGTTTACTCTTGGCCCTGATGTGTTATCTATAGTCACCGTGATAAACTGAAACAGGAGGTCTAAACTGTGGGAAGGATATAAGATGACTAGAAACTCAAAATAAAAAATGAGAAGCAGAAAGACTTGAAGAGGGTTAAAACTTGCTCTATCTATTTCAAGTATGAGTCACTATAAATATTCCTGAAATTAGGACTTCCATTCACTTGAAAAAAACAGAGAGAAAGAGTGTCTGTGTCTGTGTTCAAGTGAATGGAAGCCTCCAAGTGTTTCTGCTTCTCTTTTCTTTTTATTTTGCGTTTCCAGTCATCCAATTTATCACAGCATAATATTTATATAAATATATAAAGGATGAAAAGAGTTTACAATGTTAAATATGTTCTTACTTGTCAAACTTGTATTATAAACATCCACAGTCTATATTTCTTCTTTTTTATACTTTCTAGACATTAATCAAAGATTTTTTGTTCAGTTTCTGAAAGCAGCATGTAGAACTTTTACCTGTGACTTCTGTGCAATTGTCATCTGAATCAGACTCTTCAGGATCAAACACTTGGATCCCTTGGGCTTGCAGTCTCTGAAGTTTGGCTTCTAGCTCTCGTTTAGCTCTCAGCAAATCCTGAATTTCATTTTCCTTAGTTTCTCTAAAAATCTATAAAAAGAAAATGATTGTTTTAAGCCAATGGTGCCAACTGTCATGTTTTATCATGAAACTTGTGAAATTTGATGTCTAACTAAGTTCTTAGATTTACGTATTTAGATTGCATTCAAAATAGATTCTAATACTCATAATTTCAGGGAAAAGCTTGAAACTGTGACCACAGTGCAAAGCCAAAGTTCTAGTTCTAGGAGACAAATAAAAAGAACTTGGCATTTATTTTTTTTTAATCTCATTATTTTAAGGTCTATATCACGTTTTTAAATAATTGTGGGTTTTAGTGCTGTCCACCCCAAACGTAAAATGGAAAGTGACATACACAGCTGTTAACTGATAGTTTCAAGACAGGTGATCTTCTTCAGCCAAGCTACAATTTGTTCCTAAAGATTCCCTTTCATTCTTAATAGATTTAATATATTACTTTGCTGTGGATTGATATGTTAATTTAAAGTTGTCTAAAATAAGAAGTGAACATGTATTTTGAACAACCCTGTATATGCAATATTACTATCACAAGCTACAGTTAAAGAGTTAAAGAGCTAAAAATAAGTTCCCAAAGAAATAAAATACTTCAGGAGCAACAAAGGGAATGCATAGACTTAATTGCAAATAGTTGGAATCAATGACCCAGGAGATACTTTCAAATCCTATGTTCAGAAACAATTTTGGTCTTATTCATCTACCAAGACATCACTTCTGTTGCAGCTGATGATATCAGTAATTCCTAAAGCAGTTCAAAGAACTAAATGTACTGTTTGATTTTTTTGCTGGGAGCTTCATCAATGACAGGAAGGGAAAACCCAAAGCATCAACCTGGCAACTGAGAATCTTTTCAAGTTACCTGGGGGGAAAATGTTAAGGCTCTTACCTTCATTAACATTTTAGTAAGAAAAAGGAAAATGCCAAGAGTTGTTAAGTTCTTTTAATGAAAACTACAAATGTTAAATAGTGAAAATTACTAAGAAAAATGTTTTTCCTTTAAAAACTGCAAACGTTTAATCCATCTGTATTTTCTTTGCCCTTCCAGGCATGAAGCTGGCAAAGACTAATGCTGAAATAACACAAGCGGCAGGTCTAAGAATATGAAGCAATGATCATTTTTCACTATCTGAAGTGTTATTTTCCACTAAATCTAAACAATATTCAATGAAAGCAGGCATCTTGTTTACCTTGAACTGTCTCTTGACTTTGTCACGGTCGTGTTCAAAAGTAGCAGCTCTTTCCATAGCTTGGTATTTGGCTTCTAAAGCACTTTCTTTCTCTCTAAGTATTTTTTGGTAAGTTTTCTGAAGAGCCTGAAAACATTTAATGTATTAATATCTTGGAGAGGGAAATATCAGTGCTACAAAGTTTTAGAACATTTTTCAGCTGTAAGTTTGAGTAGCAAGTTCAGCAGGCTTATCTCACACAGCCATCCCATTTAACTTCAATGAAGACCTTTGGTTTATATTTAAAGCAGTGCAGGCCAACCTTTATGGCAGATGTGTTACATATTAAGCCTGAAGTCTTTTACAAGTGCCACTCCAATCCCCTTCCCCTGCCTGAGCTGCTGCTCTGCTTACTGCTTCTTTCCCTTCCAATTTGCTGATTTGCTTTCTGCATCCTGCCCTACCTGCCACTGTGCTGCCTGTCCCCTTTCTGATCTGCCTTATGCCACACACAGAGGCTGTCTAGGCCACTTGTGCCACCCATGCCACAGATTGGCCACCCTACTTTAAACCCAACCCAAACCAGTACAACAATGCAATGTGCTCCTCCAGTGAATGAGAAACAGAATGTCCTGACAAACAGAATCCCAGTCCTTACAATGAGTCCTTTGTGAACAGAGTCCCTACATGCCAAAGGGAGCCCCACTAACTTCGTTCTGATTTTGGTGGGGCTTTCCCAGGCACACGCATTTGCTAACATGAAGTTCATTGCAGGATGTGGTGGTCTAAGAAGAAAATAGCAGACAGAAGTGAACCTAACCCAAAGGCAGTTCTGAATGTTATTTCTGTTAAGCAACCACAGAGTTAGTAGAACTGAGCAAGCCAGCCTGATTTTCCAAAAGATGGTTTGGAAGAGGCAGAGATATAAAATAGTGATGCTCAACCTTGTTGGGTGGCAGGGTGGACGGGAATTCCCAATCCCTCCACAGGCTGAGAGCCAGTGGACCCAATCTGGGGCTCGGGGTAGGCTTGCTCTGGCCCCGATCCAGCTGTGCAAGGGAAGGGAGCTTGCCCGGCCCCAACCTGGCCCCATCAGGGAAAAGGGCATGACCTGGCTCTGATCCAGCCCCAGAGGAGGAAGGAGCATGCCCAATCCTGTGTCAGCAAGGGGGTATGGCATAACCCCAACCTGGCCAGGCAGAAGGAAGTGGGTGTACCCTGGCCCACTTTAACCTGGAAGAAGGGGCAGGGGGAAGGATGAGGGGGCATGGGCTGGCCCCAAACCAGCTACCAGGGGGAGAAAAGTGCATAGCCCTGCCCCAACCTGGCTGCACAGAGGGATGGATGTGTGGGCCAGCCCCAATCTGGCCATGCAGAGAGAGACTCATGGCCCAGTTCTGATCCGCCTCATGGATGTTGAGATTTTGACAGCAGGGAACAGTGGCAGTACTGCCACTGCTCCCCTGCCACCAAATCTCTTGACCATGGGAAGCCCCACCGGACAGGTTCCAAGGGTCCACAGGCTGCATTTGGCCCATGGGACAGAGGTTGAGCACCCCGGTATGGAGGACTGGTTTTGGGGACTGGACTCTTAAGTAAGGCTTTACTTGGCTTTCAACTCCCAATTTCAGAAGCAACAAAGTGCTCGGACGTTTACTTGCTGCACAACTTTGGCCGCAACCCTTCTTCTCCATGCCTCAGCTTTCCCCAATGGAAAGTGGGAAAACCCATCTTTACAATGCAATTGAGGACTGAAGACGAACTGTCACGTCCAGCCAAGGCAGCGGTCAACATGATTATTGGTCTCTCTGCTGCCAGGGGCTGGGACAGCACCATGACCGGTTTACCTGGAGCTCTGCCCGGAGCCGCTTGTTCTCCCTGTCCAACTTGGCTTCCTTCTTCACCATGGAGGCCACCTCATTGCTCTTGCTGACGCGGAAGATCTCATACTCTTTCTTCAGGCGCTCGTACTCGGCCGCGCACTCCAGCTCCTGCACCGAGGCCGTGGATTTGAAGCTGGCCCCGATGAGGCCCCCGGGCCGCGATGCGCCCACCCGGCGTAAAGAGCTGCGCAGCAGGCGGGCTTTGGGCTTCACCTCCACTGGGATCTCACAGGCCTCGCCCCCGCCACCACCACCATAGGTGTCCTCGATCACCTCCCCCGCACCACCCACTGGGCTCACCAGGGACGAGGCCGTCCCCATGGCTGGAGGGGAATGTGGCCGTCACGCCTGCTGCCCCTCCTGGCGTAGGGCTGGCAACTCGGAGGGTGGAGGGGGTCACTCAGTGGCTGACCCAGAGCAGGGGCACCAGGACCCCTCTAGCTTTGCAGGACACCCTGGGGGCGCTGCTAAGGCAGGCACCACAGCTACCTTCCCACCTCCTGGGCAGCATGGGGCTGCCCCAACCCCGCAGCCAGAAGGGCCAGCGAGCGGCGCGGGGCGGCAGCGGCGGACTAGGGAGGAAGGAAGGAGCGAGCCACGTGGGCCGCCTCCCGCCCGCCCTGAGGGGCTGCGTCTCCAACCCCCGCCCCGCCCCGAGCCGCGCAGCGCTTTAAGTGAGCTGGGCTGAGGGCTCGGGGGAAGCGGAGCTGCAGGGAGGGGAGAGGAAAAAAGCGGCCTTGCGAGCCAGGGGGAGCTGCTAAGCGGCGACTGAAGCAGTAGAGAGCGCGGAGAGACAGCAACGGGGTGAGGGGGAGAGCAAGGGAGCAGGTTAGCCGGGCTCGTTTGGTCAGGGGCGATCCCGCCTCGAGCTAGAGCATACGCTGTGAGGTCCTTTCCAGCGCTGCTTTCCTCTGAAAGGAAAGGGGGTACGCCTGGAAAGGTTACGGTTCTTGCTAAAAAAAGAAACGCAGCACTGTTTTGGTGTGGTGAAGAGATCCATTCCTGTTATATTCCTGTTTTCTGGCCCGTCAGCGCTGGCTGAGAACAAGTGGTCGCTGCTTTTCCTAGCACCAGCCCAGCTGCCTGTCTGCTGAGCCAGTTCTGCTCCTCCAGCAAAATATTTGCGGTGTTTTTTTGCTAGTAATCGGGCCACGGTTGGTCCTCGAATGACTCACGGATTTGGAATTGATTTGGCAGATTTGACTTGGAACAAAACATTTTCTTTAAAAAAAAAGAAAAAAAAAGTGTGTGTGTGTATATATGTATATGTGCATGTATGTATATGCGTGTGCATGTGTATGTGTGTGTAATTTGCGGTGTTCCATCCAAATTAGGTCTCTGGCTAGGATTGCCACCAGCCCTCAAATGCCTGGCATAGTTTTGATTTTGGTTTTTATGGTTATGTCCTTCTCAGGCAAGCGCTTCCACCCATGAGTTGTCCTGTTTCTGTGGGACTCTCAGGATTGAGGGCTTGGGAAGCAGCTCTAGGGCATCGTCCTGGAGTTTTGTAATGGGGTCCCATTCTGTGAGCTTTTAAGCCCATTTAGCTGCTGCTGAAGTCAGGGAGAATTGAAGGTACAAAGCATTTCACAAAAGATAAGTACAGCACCTAGTCGGACAGTGGTTCTTAACCTTTTTTGGACTCAGTGATAAACCCCATAATAGACTCAAGGCACCCCTCCATAACTTCTGTGAATTGAGCAGTGCCTCATTCAAAAAACTAATTTATTACAGTGTTTACCTCCTGGTGGGGGAAATGGCTAAGTAGGGACAGAGCCTGAGCCTATGCTTATCTGCGTATTTCCTCACACCTTACCTCCTTACACTGCCACCATCTCCAAAGGACCTTGCAGCTACCCTGGTTGAGAATCACTGTCCTGGGAATAAGCTGTGATATCAGGATATTAAGCACTTAGTCTAAATAGGGCTTTCCTACTGGATTTTATTCTCTTGCCTTGCTATGTCTTCGTAAACTATCAAATCCATCTCGGCCAGATATGTTTTATTGGAAAGAAGCTGTGTCCCCCTTGAAAGGATTCATCCCCTGACTCTAAATGGTTGATAGCTTCTTTTCTAAGGAAAATGCATTCTTTATATCTTCTGGGGTTTGAGTTCAATTTGATGAATACACTGCAGTATGTTACTTACCTCTGACTACATCTTTAAAACCTTGTTTAGCTCTCATACCTAAATGGATTTTTTTTTGATGAACCAGCCACCGAAACTCACAAGTATGGTAGTTTGCTTCCAAATCTCAAGAGTCCATGATACTGCAAGTGTATGAAAAGGAAAGAAACACACAGCCACATCAAAGCAGATCTTACCTGGTGTTATGCACCTGTTGTGTGAACTACAAGTCATCTTATGAAAGTATAAGATTAAGTATTTTAGAGGGCTCCCCATAATGATTTAAACTTGAACCCTTGTAAAATTGCTTCTGTTTGAGGAAGATTTGTCTGTTGTGGTACATGGATGAAAAATAAAATAGTTTTATTTCTTTCCATGATTCCTATGAGCTGGCTGCCAACCTGTAGCCAGATTCTACCCTGTGCCTCCATGAAAAGACCTGGCTGCAAGATCTGTTTCATGTGTGGCCCCATTTTGACATCACTGTATACCAAGTTGGAGCAGCATCTCGGCCAAGAACATCTCAGCCAAGCAGGGCCTAAATGCCTTCTTATCAGCCTCCAGAATATTCTTCTGTTTTACTGCTTTCTGAGTTTTGGGATTAAGTCAGAGTTCTGGTGCTGCTTGTGGTTGTACTGCATTCTTTTCATGATCTCTGTTATGCAAACCATGGCATTCTTTACATGCAGTTTCAGTCATTACTTTTAGACCTAGAATTAAAAAAAAGTGTGCTGCACTAGAAGGGTCTCTTGACCAGCTGCTAATAATCCATTGACAGTTATAATGATGTTGGAGGAACTGGTGGCATTGTTTTTCTTATGCTGCCTCTGGATGTGTTACAGGAATTTTATGAAGAGACAGCATTTACAAGCTTTCCTGAACAAGAAAATTATGTTGCCTCCCTGTTGTTTCATGGACCGAATTTCCTAATGATTAGAGATTTTAGATTAGCCTACAACAAAATGTAATTTGTAAATTGTAGTGAAGATTGTTTTAAATCACCTTTTAGTTTAATTAGAAGGGCATCCAACTGTTCATATTTTTGCACATCTGTGGGAAACAGAGCCTCAGGAAATGTAAAGACTTATTGTCTTAACTTTCAAAGATTGTGTGACGCAGATCAAATCGAGTTCTTCAAAATGGACTTGTCTTATATTTTTGTTGTGTTCTTCTCAGACTTCAGCAGGAGCAACCCAACTCCCAGTTCTTTCAGAAGTAAAGCAGTAGGTGTTTGTAATGCCAGTGCATGTTAGAATCTTTGAGCTGCTTTATGTTTTAGCAGTTTAATTTGCAATGCACTTTACTGAGCTCTCTGGTACAATTCATGTGCCATTTATTGTTTTAGTAGAAACAGGACCTGTATTTGTAAGGCCTTTTCACAGCTGCTATTCCAGCCCTTGTCTGTCAATAAAAGGCCCCAGAACGCATCATCCTTTCCTATCCTGATTATTATTTACTATTTGTATTTCCTAATAACTCTACCCATGTTATAGTTACCACACTACCTCTGTGCTGTGCAGGGTTTTATGTGGGTCTTCCAAAGGGTGAGTTTCATTCTAAAGGGGTGTATCTATATGTGCTATTATATTAGCATATAGCAATAAACTCTGGTGCATATCACACTGGAGTTTATTGCTCCTATTCACCCCATTTGAATGTGTGCCTGGGACTGCAGCACATTGAGTTGGTTCAGAGCAGCTCTGCCTGGCAGAGGGCCCAAGGGTTCAGCAAGCAGCTGTGCACTGAAGCACCCTCATGCCCCAGCCAGTTGCATCAGTATTGGCACGTGCTGTTGTGGAGTAAAAAACAAGTGCTACTGTGCTGCAGAGTTAGTTTCCTGCAGTGTAGGAATCCTGTAGCTTCCTACAGTTGCATGTGTAGATGTGAAACATTTACTGTGGAGCTAATTAGTATACTCTGCAGTAAACATCTCATGTAGACACACTCAAAGAGTAGTATTTGGATCTACAGACTTTAAGAATGTCATCATGTTACTGCAGAGCACAATAAATAAAAGTCAGTGGAGACAGAGTGGGGCCAAACGAATCTTTATTAAAGCTATTTTGAGTTGAATTCATATCTAGCCGGTCAATTTTCTAAGTGGCTTATCTCTTTGAAAAAAATAAAACTGTTTGCATTGTTATGCATAAAAAAAATCTGATAGTTTACATTTGAAATCTCGTCATTTATTTTATCTCTATAATGATATTGCTTCTGTCATTAGTATGTATCCTAATATTTTTCAAATGTATTTGAGATGCCTGCCTTGCTATTTAAGTGTTCTTACTCTTTGTCTGTTTCATTTTAGGAAGTATTATTGACCATGTGTAAACAAAATCTACAGATGTGAAACTGTCCCCTAGAAATAACTGGAGCCTCAAAAACTATAGCACTACCTGAAGATTTTTCCAGATCTCTTCTGTGCAGCTTTTTATTATCTGCGGAAAATGAAGGTAACTGTATAGCTCTGATTGCAGAATTGCTTTGCCTCTCACATACATTACTGTGCTGGTTTATCACTACAACTCAAAATTAGCAGATGTTCATTTTACATAAGAACACACATAGTTTATGGCTACATATGTATTCCAGTATAATTTAGTATAAATGTGTGTAATTTTTTTATAAATAGATGCAGGAAATAGCCAAAATATGGGCTTCTGGAGCGAGCCTTTCAGACTGTAGGTTACTACATTCTGCATGTTAAAATAAGAGTTTTACAATGATTAGCATAAATGATCATCTTGAAAGCAGAAGATGCTTTAAATGGAAAACAACCAAGCAGCCCAAATCTATTTTTTCTCCTTTTTAAATTCTATCTTTGCAATACTTGTTTTCTGTCAATATCTACTGTAGACAAAGGCAGAGCACTAGAAAGGCTTTCATATATCAGCTGTACTGCATTAAAGTCAAACAGTTTTTTATTATTCAAAAATCCTGCATCTAGGTACAGGTTTCGTCACTTGATGAAGAATTATGGTGTTTTTGAAATTAGTAGTGTGGTGTTTTTAAAAGATTGTTATTTTTATCCTTTAATATACATGATTCATTCGCATTCTTTTTAGTGGCTATGAAGACTATACTGTGAAGGATAACCTGCTATGATGATGTTCCATATTAACTTTCTTGTTATTTCTACTATTTAAGTCCAAGTACTGAGTTGACGCCTCAGTAGGCCAAATGATAAAACAAGTGGTAGCTTGACTGAATTATTTTGATTAATTTCATAGTCTTTTGAAAAATAACACCAAATCTGGAATTTGGTATGGAAAGAGCTGGGTTGCCAGTTAATCAACATTTAACCTTTGTTTAATATAAAGACTTATTCAAAGCTCAAAGACCATGACAGTCTTTCAGTTAACTTCAACAGTTCAGGCCCTTAAGTTCATGTCCATGCTATTTAAACTGGTACACAAAATAAAAATAGCTCAGAAATTGAACACCAGTCAGTCTAGTTAGGCTAGATGCAAATGGGTTTACCTTTCAGAGCAAGGCCTTTATCTAAACTTGTGATTCTTAGCCAGGGTGCTGCCAGATCCTTTCAAGGGAGCTGTGAGGTGTGAGGAGACAAGCAGATAAAGACAAGCTCAGCAGAGGGGCTGATCACCTACCTGTACTACCAGGCCTCTCTGCAAGGAGATAAGCACTGTAATATATATATCAGTTTGTGAAATTGGGTGCCACTCAATTCACAAAAATTATGGAGGGTTGCCTCAAGTCCTGTGAGGGGTTTCTTGAGTCCAGAACAGTTGAGAACTACTGACCTAAGCTCTTTACAAAATAAGCTACTTTTTGTTTGTTTCTGGTATCTGAAAATTACAGTTCCCTGGGTGTTAAGTGTCCTGGTCAGTAAAACTTGTCCTGATAATCAAGGCTGTGTACACTACTGAGTGAAAAATAGCTTCCCTTTTCCACTGCACATTCATTTCTGGTAATTTAAAAGCCTCACATGTTGTTACAAAAATAATTATGCAACTCTAAAAGATTATCAGAAGTACAGAGAAATCTTATTTGAGGAATAAATTCAGGCTTGAAAAAATGTGTTTAATATTGCATCTCATCTCTGATGCTCATTTATTATTACTGGCATGCTTTATGACAGTATACTCAATTTTAACTGATTTTTTTTTTTTTGTATTAAAATAACGTGAATAAGTAGCTAATTATAAATGAGTACAACATATCTTTAGGACATAAAACATTATAAAGCCTTAGAGCGCGTTCCATTTTCTGTGTTCTAACTTTATTATAGTCTGTTAAACTGAGCATAGCATGGATGTATCCAGATTCCATTTCTTCAGAAACTTGGAAAGAATTGAGAGTAGAATTGATGGAAATTCTTATGAGGACGAAGACATTCACTTTTAAAAGTTCCTGTAACTTTAAATTTTGTAACTCTTCAACACTAGAGGGCAGGAAGACCTTGAGAAAAGACTGGGAATGTGCAGATGAGTGGCAAAAATAGGATGGAGAATCCTATATACAAACACCAGTATCATGGCTAAAGTGCATGTGCTTAAGGGGGAATCTGGGCTGCTCCGGGCACAGAGCTGGGGAATGGTAGGGCACAAAAATAACACTTGTTTCACTGCTGGCCCAGGCACCAGTACCACTACCAGCAGTACAGCCACTGGTGCTGCCCCATGCACTGCTGCTGTTACTGCACTGAAGTGCCCAAGTATACCTCTGACAAAGACAATGAGAATTTTAAAAAATCAACATTTTCAATTATAAGGACACCATCAGGAATGAAAACAGCATAACTAGATTGTTCTGAAAGATGTTTGGAGTCCTAATACTTAGCATAGAGTTGCATAAATATAATACTTTTATATAATGCCTTCCACATCATGGCTAAAACTATTTGAAAAGGACAGTCAATAACCTACTAATAGGAAAGTCTAAACCATAGTTCCAGTGAACTCACCAACAATTTTGCCACTGACTTATGTAGGACCAAACCTTGGACCCAAATGCTTTGCAACATGAAACTACCGTCAAGTTTTTGTTGTGGTTCATTTTTTTTTTCCATTCAAGAATTAATGCCTAGAAGGTATTTTGTGTTTTATCTTTAATTCGGTAGTCAAGATGGATAAAAAATAATCTAAAAGTATCAAAAACCATACCAAGCCACTCCTTCCTTCTGTCTACTGTCTCTGCAAATTCAGCCTTAATTACATGAGGGTGACCACGCTGAAACAAAAGTACCCAAGAAACATTTTACATAGTGAAGTTCAGAAAAATGAGACTGATAATCAGATCCAAATTCACCTTGACAGCTGCAAGGTGTCAGAACGAGATAGACTGTTAAGTCTATGTATCAAATGACTCAGCAATACAACTCCATAAAATGTTGGCCAGGTGACTCGTTGTCAGTCTGAATTGGGTTTTGAGTGACAGTCCAACAACGAGGTAGAATCTAGGCAAGAGATCAAACACTTCAACTTCTGCTTCAATAAGGATGCATCCTCACTGAACTGAAAAGGATACCTCAGGCTTTCATTGGTGGTGTGGTCACTTCTTCCTCATACTTCTTTCTATTTCATGTGGTCACACGACCTAGAGGCTACTTTCTTACGCACTGCTTTTCTGAATCACTGAATTTAATTGTGGATTGGAGTTTAGTGGTTTAAAGAAGCTCTTGAAAGTTAAAATTACTTAGCTCTTTTCTAACTGACACTTACCACTGATATGACATTGGGCAAGAATCTTATGCCTGATTTTTAAAAAAAGTCTACTAAATTTTGTACACATCAGTTTTTGAATATTTAAGTCGAAAAATATAGGGTCTGATTTTTCAGAGCTGTTGAATACTCAGTTTTATTTTTCTTCCCAATATCAAGTTGTCTTATACCATGTATGCTATTTTGATGTCTCAATTGACATTTTCTATTATTTTCTGCTATCTTTTTGTTTAGTGTAACAGAAATCCCTAACTTCCAAATGATTAATGCACTTTCGTATTATTTTTCTGTATGCTGATGGTAGAGTGTATTTTATGCTGACTTCTCTTTGTAATAGTTTTTGAAGGATCTTTTAAACCTTTGCACTTCTAATGCAAAAGCAGATAAGCACCTCTCAACCTCTTTTTTTTTTTTTTTACCTTTTTATCAATCACTGGAGTGGATGTAGTAGTTCTTCGCCTCAGCAGTGTCAAGGGTCTTAAGAAATGTGTTTTAAGTCAATTTGATATCCTTGTATGAAAGCTTTGATACAAATGTGAAGTAGAATTCCTCTTTTCATATGGGGATGGCTTAAAAGAAAAGATTTGCTTGCACCCCTAGTCTCAAATAGAAAATATGATCATGAGAGAAACACATTGACATATTGCAGATAAGAGAAATAATGAAAAGTCATTTTCCCCTCTGTTGTATTAAATAAAAAGTATTTGCCTAAAATTGGTCACTCTGTACTCACCTAATTCCTACTTAAGTGGCATTTTGGTGGCTAAATCCATGAGAGCTGTTCACAAAACAGTGATAGTGCTCTGGCTAAGGAGAAGAAGGGCAAGGCCAACACTGCTTGGTTGGAACAGACAGCCCAGCCCAGGGCTGCAGAGCATGCTGGGATTCTGGGGGACTCTGGTTTAATTTAAACCAGGAAGGGGTCTGGGACAAAAGTTCCATAAACTGGTTTGACCTCAGTCAGTGAAGTCTGATACTACATGTGCCAGGTGAATGTAACCAGCACTTGAGGCCTCAGTGCTGGAGGTGGGTCTGCCTCCTACTTGCCTGCCATGACTTGATAGATTTAAGAAAGGAATGGGATGTTCCTCAGAAGATTGGATATCTTTCCAGCCTCAGGTTGGCTAGGTGCGATAGTAAGTGACATGGGGCCCTGCCTCCCCTACACCCCATCCACTTGCCAACTGAAATACAGTCACAACACTGGCCCAAGCTTGGCTGTCACACAGTATGGATTCCATCCATCGTACCCCCCTTAGGGGTTAAATTGACCCTCTCCCCTGCCAGGGTGATGTCCAGCAGCATTGGCCAAGTTATTCTGCTGTGGCTGTATCCCTTTAAAGGGGAAAGGTGGTTGTTACTGGCTTTCCCCACCAAATTTCTTTGGGTCCTGCCGGGGTACTCCCTCTCGGGTCGACCCTATCTCAGTGTATGTCAAAATCTTCAAAGTAAATACAGATGATAACTCAAAGCTACCCTGGCCTCTGACATAGTGACACTCAGTGCCTGGGACTCACATGGCCAGCATGGCGCCATGCAGGCTCACTCTCAACATGGGTCCCACCAGTTGGATCCTCAGGCTCTGTTGCTGGTGCTCAATGGGGAGATGCTCCTGGCTCTCCCTGTGGCTGCTCGTGCAGCTTCCCCAGCATCTTCTGCAGCTTCTGCTGGGTCTGCAGAGATGCTCCCTGCAGCATGTCCTGCCTCCACTCCTGGTGCCTGGGACTTGCCGGCTTCCCAGACGCCTTTTTATTATGTCTTTGGAGGTGCACTCTCCTACATGCAGGAAGAGCATGCTTTTAAAATGTGCTGGAAATGCCACGTGCATCTTGGCGTCTCAGGCTTGGGTTGCTGCAGGGAAGGTGAGTAGCCCTTCAGCCCAAACTGGGCTAAGTTTCCCCTTCAATCAGGGTTCATTTGGGGGGGGGGGGGGGAACACCCCCCCCCGCCCCCCCCCACTCCTGGGACCTTGGGGAGCCAAGTAGCTGAGTGCAGCGACGCTGCATTCAACCAGGTTTATCTCAGACCAGTTTTGGCCTTTTGAAACTGGCTTATGTGCACTGAACTTCTGTTCTGTTATAGGTTTAAACCAGTTTCTGATCACTTAAACAGGTTTATGTGTAACTTCTGGCCCTAGCCTCTGTCATCCAACCCTGATCTGTGTTGTTTGAGAATTCTTAGCATAGACTGACACAACCTGAAACTGGTGACAGCTTGGTTCATCTTCAGCCCCCTCAGAAAAAGACTTCACAGTATGTCAGCATGTGGTTAATATAATTACTCTTTGTACTCTGTGTATCTTGAAAAGTGCTGCGTGCTGTCAGGTCCCACCTTGTAGAGCCAGGCCCTTTTTGTTTATCATCAAATTGATATCAATTTATTTTACTCTTTCCTTAATGACTTTAGATTTCAAATCATAGTTACCTGCTTTAGTTGTTTGTCTTTTATTCAGTTGAATGAGATACAGTTTTAAGCAAGTAACTCAAACGGAGGATGAAGGGGAGACTAAAATGTAGTGGCATAACGAAGTGTGGTGGGGAGGGTGAAAAACAGAAATGACTCTGCCACTGTGCTGCCAGCAATACAGCCAGTGATGCTGCTCCATCAGTACCACCAGTGATTAGGTGTCATGTTATGCCTCTGCTCAAATGTATGAAAAATCAATCTCAAATATTTGCAGGGGTGGGAGGAGGAAGGAGGTTACATACTGGCAGGAAGAATTTTGTAGTTTCTTGCTCTAAGGTATATTAATTCTGCACACATGACCTGTACCTGACCGTTGAGCAGTGCAAAATTGAGCTCCAAATTATTGTTCCTGCATGGCATATTTAGTGAGTAACTTCATATAGTTTTCTGGCAAAAAATCTTAATTTTTTTTTAGCAGTTTGCCTTTCATAGTATCAAGTCTTATACATGGCTTGCACCATGAAATGTGCATTGAAACTGAATGATGTTCTTTTTATAAGTGCCACAGATTCTGTGTTTCTTTGAGCTATAACAGGCTGGTATGGAGACAAATAAGACAACTATGGAATATGAATGGCTGGAAAACAATAGTGCTAAATAAATTCTTGGTATACACATATGCCATTTTGAAAATGTTACTCTCATGACTCTAAAAGATTGTGGTCATGTAGATATTAAATTGTTACAAATGTTATTTAAATATACATTAAATCTCTGTTGTGCATTTCTGAAATTAGAACAGCATGGGAATAATAATGGCAAAAGGTCTAACTATTTTTTCTCCGAAACATGTGAGGTATGCCATTGTGTTAACTCTGCTGGGAGAACTTTAGATTGAAGGTATAAAGGTCCGTGATTACATTCCAGGTTCATGCCACAACTCATTTTACTTCAGGAATTTTGTAGCAATGAACTGTGACCAAAAAAGAATGGGAGAAAAAAAGACCGGTGTGTTAGTACTGGAGTGAAGCATTCAACAGAAATGTGCATTTGAAGTTTCTCACAGTACCATAAATGTAATTTGGAACAGATTCCGTCTGTGGGTATGTTTACTGATTGTAAGTATGTAAAAAGGTATTTGCATGTCCATGGAAACATAATATTTTAATTGGATGAGTATATAATACATCCTGTTGTATATCTCATATACAGTTTTTGATGAAGACCAGAATTATGACCTTTTGAGCTCTGGAGCTCTGGTATTAGTGAACTCCTCCAAAACTTCAAGTTGTGCCAGACCTTTTCAATATGCACAGAATTACAGTCCTTAAGGAGCATTTATTAGAAGAAAATAAGTTACTAACTCAAGCTGGTCTATAGACAGCTCAAGTCCCAGCTTTGTCTGTCTTGTTTTCATGGGCCACACTTTATTTGGAACTCAGCAGGGCATATAGAAATATTTAATGGCTGTGTATGGAAGATATTACAGGCTTAATGCCTTCCAGGGACACAGAGGAAAATGCATGATGACCAAATCTTGCTATACTTTTGAAAAGTATTGCTTGTTAAAACTACTTAGTGTCTCACAGTTCTTCCCCCAAAACCCTTCCCTGATGGTTTTTTCTGATATATAGTCTGTCCCAAATCTCCATTAAAGACGGAGACTGATAATTAATTAGTTCATTATCCACCATGGGATACCATTCAACAAGTTATCCCAGGACACTTTACAAGGTAAAACCAAGAGAAACCTGACTTGAAGTGATGTTTGAGTATTTAGTTCTACTCCCAGTAACTACTTGTTTCCTGTCTTTGAGTATCATTTCCTTGATCCCATCATCCTCCCATTCTTCCAACAGGATCAAAGCCAGCAGCGACCTATTCTCTTTCTTTTTATCCAGGTCTAGGAGCTGCAATGCTAAATTTTCACTCCTCAAGTCACTAATCAACACTCTCTCTCCGACTACTGTCTATGCTTCATTTTATTGCCTCAGTCATAACTCAGTTCTTGGCTGCTTCTTTGCAGAGAAACAGCTGGTATAGGGTGTGGTTGGGGGGGGCAGGAGCGGAAAAGGATGAGAGACAGCTGTTGGCT